ATAATTTAAAAACAAAAAATTTGTAAAAAAAAAAAATAACTAGGGTTTGGAGATGGTCTCATGTCTTCACATTTGAATGGTTAATAGATCTGGTGACGTGACTGAGTTGGCAGGGGCCAAGCCAACGTTTCATAGCTCTTGTGCAAAAAGTTGAATGAAACGTAACTCTTGATTGAATTCAATGATCACTTGGAGACCCGAACCAGTGAATCAGACACTACTACAAACCCTCATATTTCACCATTTCAAATCCACCAAACTCATTCCTTCTCTACCTTACCACACTCTTCGTCGTCCCAACAGCAGACCCAGAACGAGTCCTCGCAGCCAACAATCTCATCACAAACCACCACCAAATCTTCTTCGCAAACCAATACCTTTCGTCACCGACCTCAAACAACTTGAAAACCCAGATGAAGCCCTCTCTCTCTTCAACCACTATCGCGAAATGGGTTGCAAACACCACTACCCATCTTACTCTTCTCTCGTTTACAAGCTTGCCCGTTCGCGCAACTTCAAATGCGTCGAAGCCCTCCTTTTTAACATTCGGGACCACAACATTCGATGCAAAGAAACCCTTTTCATTGCTTTGATTCAACATTACGGGAAGTCCCAATTGCCCCAGGACGCTATTGAGCTGTTTCGCCAAATGGATTCTTTCAATTGTGTCCGTACTTTACAGTCTTTCAATGCCCTTCTCAATGTTCTTGTTGATAATGGGAGGTTAGAGAATGCGAATGAGATGTTTAAGGGTTGTTCCAAATTGGGTTTTCGACCGAATTGTGTTTCGTTTAATGTCATGATCAAGGGGTGGCTTGAGAGGGGTGAATGCGAACAAGCTCGCAAAGTGTTTGATGAAATGCTCGAGACACAAGTTGAACCCAGTGTAGTAACTTATAATAGTCTGATTGGGTATTTGTGCAAGAAAGGTGACTTGGATGGGGCTAAGAGTCTACTCCACGACATGACCCAGAAAGGGAAAAAACCCAATGCAATCACGTATTCGTTGTTGATGGAGGGTTTGTGCTCATTGGGTAAGCATAAGGAAGCGAAAAAGATGATGTTTGATATGGAGTATCAAGGGTGTAAACCAAGACTTGTAAATTATGGTGTTTTGACGAATGACCTCGCAAAGAGAGGGATGATTGAGGAAGCCAAGGCTTTGATTCTTGAGATGAAGAAAAGGCGGTTTAAGCCAGATGTCGTGACACACAATATACTGATCAATTACTTGTGTAAGGAAGGAAGAGCTTCTGAGGCTTACAAAATCTTGGTGGATATGCAGGTTCAAGGTTGTGAGCCAAATGCAGCCACATATAGAATGATGGTTGATGGGTTTTGTCGGGTTGAGGAGTTTGAGGAAGGTTTGAAGGTTTTGAATGCAATGTTGATGAGTAAGCACTGTCCACGTTTGGAAACGTTTTTCTGTTTGGTTAGGGGACTAATCAAGTGTGGCAAGGTGAATGATGTTTGCTTTGTTTTGGACGAGATGGAGAAGAAGAAAATGAGATTCGATTTGGAGTCTTGGGAAGTGCTGGTTAGGGATGCTTGTGGTGAGGATGGAGGTGCAAGCGGTCTTGTGACTGAACTGATCTCTGCTCTTTAGTAGGCGGCTTCATGGAATCTGACTTACTGATCCATGGCAACTGGAAATGTATTATCTAGCTTACCTATCATGTGGTGAAATTGATCTGTTGACTGGTTGGGAAACTGTACGCTGCTCTTGCAACATAGCATTCTGGACCTTAGGGTTCTTTCGTTGGTCTTTTCCTAGTTTCGGACTATTATTGGCTGTTTTTTCGCCGGTTCAGTTCCTTAGTAAATGGCCATTTTCAGGTACAAAATGAAAGGCCACAGATTATGGAAAACATTGGATTTATTGTTGATAGATTGTTTATCAGGTAGACTGTAGACAATAATCAACCATTAAGTTTGACATCCAAATTTCCTACAAAATTGGAGGAAACCCAATTAGTGCTTGGAGCTGGTAGACTTCATCAACTGTTCAATCCATGATCTAATTATGAACGGAGACAAGGGCACTTGAATATCTGGCATGCAAGTGAGCTTACTGGTCTCAAAATTGTTATTCAGATCTGTGAGATAACGACTGTGCATTGATCAATAAGATGAATAAATGTATCAATCAAAACTAAAGATTTATGGCTATTTACAGGTGCTTCCAAGAGTAATAACATGACCGGGAATTTTGTATTGTAGTAAGTTCAGAACTGTGGGAAGAGGAAAAGATATGTACATGCGATCCCCTCATTTTATCTGGTTTCATTTAATATTATTGACTGATTTGTTTAATGCTCAAAGCTGAACACAAAAAGTCCAACATATAGAAATTGGGGTCCTGATGATTGATGCACGGTTCACGTTGCTGTGTATGCAAAGCACTTATGCAGGTATGTACGGTTCACGTTGCTGTGTATACAAAGAACTTATCTATGCAAAGCACTTGATTTCATGTGTAATCTTCTTCAATAATCGGAATGTTTGCAGATGTTATAAACTTGTTAATTATTGTGTTTACCAGATAGTAGTGGAAAGAGATTGTAGATTTTAAGATGATAACTTTTGGGGTGGACTTTGTAGTTGCCTAAATCAATACACAAATCACTAAAAAAAAACAAAACAAAAATAAACATTTGTGTTACCTTTTACCTTTCTTCAAGATGCTAATACATAACAGTCTCTATCTGGATTTCATTTGGGTAGAGAAATGTATTAAAAGCACAGTGCGAGTCTGTGCACTCAAAGTGTCAAACTGACTGAATTTTCATTTTCAGGAGTTATTTACTTTGGAGATTGCACATGTGCACACTGCTAGTTACAAATAATTCTACCATCAGGAGTTAATTATTTGGCTTCACATGTGCAATGCAGGATGATGGTACAATAATCTAGAATGTGGCCTTGTTTGATGAATTTTGAAAAATCAAAAAGCGTGACAGAATTTGTATTCACACCAAATTGGGCGTACACATTGTATAATATTATAGATATTTAGTTATTACGTTGTAAACAATCGGTAGGGTAAAATAAGGGAAGTTGCATGGGGTAGCTGTGAGACTCGAACCCCTATATCATGCCCGGTAAGTAAGCGCCTCATCCACATGTGAAGCCAACCCCTTTGGTATGGAGTCAGTTTTGAGCAAAGTCATCTTAGGCGGTGTTTTTTTTGGGCAGACTAGATTAAATTAGATTAGCGTTCTTGAGACTATTAGTCATAGAATTATCGATCCCTTTGGATTGTGTATCATATCTCATTGTTGGATTAGTCAAACGTGCAATTATGTATTTTGTTGGATTAATCCAATCACAAAGCCATATCGGCCGAAACCCAAACAAAAGTGGCGTAAGTGGAATAGGTCGAGCCCAGCATTGGACTTCTGGTTTTGACGCTCAATATATTGTGACAAAAAGGGGGGGATTTTTTTAAATTGTTTGGTTTTATAAACTTGTGTCAGCAGGTTATAACAAACACACCCAGAAGTGTGAAATCACAAGTACCTACTCCATCTCATCAACTCCATCTTATTTTTCTAAGTTTAGCTCTTCAGATTCACAGTATATATATACCCAACCAAATTATCACAACCCATCATCACCATTCCAACAAAATACTCTCAACCTTAGTACTCTCAAGAGCTCCCCAAATCTCCTGTGTGTAACTCATGGAAAACCATCCGCTCAAGGCCATAATCTTCTCACTTCTCCTAGCCCTCACAATTAGAGGTGGGAGTGCGACCCGAATCCTCAATGAGGATGAGGAGGTACTGGCTGTCCCCACTATTGCACCTGTGTTACCCACTGTAACTCCTCCTGGGGCTATCGCTCCAGTTGCTGCTGCTAGCACTGTGGTGGGCCTTGCAACCCCTGACCATCCCTTCACCTTCTTCCTACATGACATACTTGGAGGCTCGAACCCCTCGACTAGAGCCGTGACAGGCATTGTAACCAACCCAGCCGTCAATGGTCAAGTCCCGTTCGCCAAGCCTAACGGCGCAGTCCTCCCCATTAACAATGGTGTCCCTACCGATAACGCCAATAGCGCAGTTATCAACAATAACAACGTCCCTTTCCTCACCGGGCTGAGTGGAAACACTCAGAACGTGATTCAAAACAACGGAAACAACAACGTTGTCAATGGCGGTGGGTTTGGATTCCCAGCCTTGAATGCTGCCCAGCTCCCTTCAGGGTCTGCGCTTCAGAAGCTCATGTTCGGAACACTGACGGCTTTCGACGATGAACTGACTGAAGGGCACGAGTTGGGGTCCGGTTTGGTTGGGAAGGCTCAAGGGTTTTACGTGGCGAGCTCGGAAGATGGTAGTAGCCAGACCATGGTTTTCACGGCTATGTTCGAGAGCGGCGGTTATGTTGATAGCCTATGCTTCTTCGGTGTGCACCGGATGGCGGTGTCGGAATCCCAACTGGCCATCATGGGTGGGACCGGAAAGTTTGTGAATGCTAAGGGATTTGCAACTGTGAAGACTTTCCCAGCTGCCAATCAGCACAACACTGATGGAGTGGAGACTCTGCTGGAGATCACTGTGTATCTCACTTATTAGTGTTATGTTTGGATATTTTGGGATCAGAGAGAAATTTTTGAAAGAATTTCAATAAAAAGATTAGAATAATTTATATCAAATTAATTTTTTTTTTTACTGGAGACATCAAGATCTTTAGTTGGTTTCTGGTGAAACTTTGGCAATATTCCATTGATTTCCTTTACATTTTCGAAGTGTAGATCTATCCTTCTCAAGTATAGTTCTGCAGCTTTAGAATGTAGATTTGGATCTTTTATGTTCGGAAAAAAGAATTTTGTGAGTTTTCCTTTTGCTTTCTACATAAATTTTTGGGCAGCGATGGCGGGAATAGGGGGCTTTGAGGCAGTTCTTGTTTTCAAGATCTCATCTATGAATAGTTCGGTGATGTTCTCTGACAATCTTTCTTTGGAAGGTTTGTTTTTTTTCTTCTTCATTTGTTGGTGGTTTCTCACCAACCTTGAAGTGTTTGTCAGGAAATGATTGGGTATACTTTTTTGCGTCAACTTAATTAGGATCGTGTTAGTTATATGCTTTTTGCATTCCCCCTCACCTTTATTTATGTAATCCTTGTATGTTTGTATCATCAATAAACCTTCCTTTTTTTTAATGATAAAACAAAAGAAAGAACAGAAAATATCATTTTGTCCCCAAAACTATTACACGTTTTTCACGTTAACCTTAGACTTCGATTAATATCAATTTTATACTCAAACTTTCAAATTTTTGATCAATTTGGCCCCTACCGTCACATTTCGTCTACAATTAGACGGAATGTGCTGACGTTGCACCAAAATTCATTTAAAATTTTATTTTACCGCCCAAATTATACCTTAAAAATCAATTTACCCCCAAATTAAAAATCAATTTGGCCCCCAAACTATACTTTAAAAATCAATTTGGCCCCCATATCAGCACATTTCGTCCAATTGTGGACGGAAGGTGACAACAGAGGTCTAATTGATCAATTTGTGAAAAGTTCAGATACTAAATTGAGATAAATCGAAATATGAGGGTTAGCGTGAAAAACGTGTGATAGTTTGAGAGGGGAATAAATGATATTTCCTCTAAAAAAAAAAAAAAACTTACTGTATCAGTTTACCCCCATTTATTTAAAAGTGAAATTCATTGAACTCACTATCATATTGAAATATTAAAAAAAAAAAAAAAATTATAAAAATGGTGAAATGATTTATTTATAGAGTAAATTTTTATTGTTTGTGTTTAACATTTAAACAATAAAAATTACAGATAAATTACTAGTAAGTCTTTACAGTTTGACTTAATTCTCATTAAAGTTAGTTCTAGTAAAATTGTTGCTAAAAATAATTTTTTGTGACTATTTTTACATCTATCGCAAAAAATTAATAATTAGTAATTTTTTTGGTCACGATTTTTATAAATTGTTGTTAAGACTTACAATTAATGACATTTTTCTATGACGAATTTTTCAAACTGTCGTTGAAAACCGAAAATTAGTGACTTTTTTTGTGATGATTTTTTTGAACCATTGCTGAAAATTAATAATTAGTAATTTTTTTTTAATAACATTTGATAAAAAACACTATTAATTATCATAAAACTTATTCGATAATAAGTCCACTTATTAAAACTTATACGTAAGTTTTCCTAAAATTACACCACCCATCAATATTCACCACACTCACCATTATTGGAAATATTAAATGAGAAATTTATCAAAGCAGTGAAATGGTTTATTTATAGAGTAAAGTTTTTTTTTGGTCTAAGTTTGACATTTCCAAATGTATGTGCTAGCATTCAACCTGTGCAATGTATGGGATAATTAATTTTAAAAGGTAAATTATATCATTAGTTTCTGTGCTTTTAATTTAAACGATTTAAATCCCATTTTCAGTTTTGTTACAATGTTGTCCGTTAGTTATGGGCCATTAACATTTTAAATGGAAAAAGACAATGTACAAAATTAGAAGGGCCAAAGCAAAATTCCAAAGAGACAATAGGGACCATTGTGAATAAATATGCATCAATAGTCCATATATATATATATATATATATTTTTAATTCTATTTTGGTATCTCTCGTTTTACAGTTTTACATTATTCACCCAAAAAAAATCTCTAGTTTTACTTGTGACATTTTTCTGGGGTAAACTATCAAGAGGTTCTAATAGTTGGAATTAATTTCTATCAAATCCTATTAAAAGTAAGTCCTAGTAAAATTATCGTTAAAAATAATTTTTTGTAACAATATTTTGCATATGTCGTTAAAAATTAATAATTAGTGACGTTTTTCTGTGTTGAATTTTCAAATTGTCGCTGAAAGTTGAAAATTAGTGACGTTTTTTTTTTGTTGATGATTTTGTTTAAACTATTCCTAAAACTTATAATTAGTGACATTTTTTATAACAAAATTGTGAAACTATCTTTGAAAATTAACAATTAGTGACATTTTTTTAATAGTGTTTGAAAAAAAAAAGCCATTAATTATCATAGGATCTATTGGACAATAAGTTTATCTATTAGGACCTATCCGTAAGTCTCCTTTTTTTCCTGTTTAAAATTCTAATGATAAGTGAAACTTGAAAAAATAAGGGCCAAAGTGAAACTTTGATCAAACTATAGACCTCAAAAGTACAATTAACCTTAAAAAATAAAGGATAAATTACAAACACACCCCCTGGGATTTACTTAAATTATGAATTACCCTTGTGGTTCTAGAAATTACATTATGCCTCCTAAAGTTTCTAATTTTATAACAAATAGGTCCCTTCATTAATAAATCATTAAGTTAATTAACAGGTTTTAATAATGTTAAAATTTTATTTCAATTAATAATTAAGATAATTTTATTATTGTATAGGTGAACAATTACAAATTTCATTTTTTCAATTAATTCTGTTAAATAAAAAATTCTGACAGAGAGGTTTTGTAATTTTCCAAACCACAGGGGGCAATTCGTATTTTAAGCAAATTTCAGGGGGTGTAATTGTAATTTACCATAAAATAAAATAACAAAAAATTATAGCTTTTTTTATTTTTATACAAAAGCAATTTTCAAAAAAAAAAAAAGTAGTAATTAACTTTTGGGTATTTTCTAAAATAAATGAGTTGTTATGATAAATTTTTTTCAAAAACATTTTTGTTTATATTTTTTGGTTCGTTTAACACGTTTGTTTTTGTTAAATAACTAATTAATGAATTCCATTTTCATAGAGAAGATTCAAGAGATCATTGTTAAATCCGACTTTGGACAATTATTGTTAGGCAGCGGTTATAACAACATACAGAAATTTGAGAATTCAAGGGAACGAGGGTGGGAGGTAAGTTCCACATATTTTCTTGCTATAAAAAGCCCATTAATTCATTAGTTATTTCACTGGAAAACATATCACACAATACAAGTCTCAAGTTTTCTAGACGATGGCTAATCACATACCTCATATTACTACTTCATGGCTTCTCTTGATCAGCTTCACATGTGCTCTTCTTATTACTTGTAGTACTGGGCAATCTGAGGGTGATCAACAGGCATATTTCTCTACTCTACTATGGTTTTTAATTTTCTTTTTTATTGGTTGATTTTTGAACAATGAAGTTCACGGTGACATATTTGTGTAGTGTACTGATAAATAAAGTCGCACAGAGAATGTGGTTCATCTTATCTCCCCCAGGGCCTGAACCACAATTATTTTTTTTTAATTTTTTTTTTTAAAACCATATATTTTGAGTAATCCTTTGCAAGCCCATGAAATATTATTCATTGTGTTTGATTTTAATTTTCTATATTCAATTTTTGTTTTTCATGTATTTTTGTTTTTAGTGAATATTTTTAAAATTTTAAGAATTTCTTAAAAAACTTTTTTAAATGCTCCTTGCTTAGATGTATCTAAAAAGTAAAATATTTGTAAAAAAATATTTTAAAAAATTAATAAATACACAAAAATACGAAAATCTACTGATTTTTATTTTATTATTTTTTTTTTGTATTTTTGGTGTTTAGTGAATTTTTTTAAATATATTTTTTTAAAACAAATATTAAACTTTTTAAATGTATTTATGTTAACTGTATGTAAAAATTAAAAAAATTGTTTAAAATATTAAAAAGATCCAGTGAAAATATAAAAAAAATTAATTTTCTAAAAAATGAACCGTGAAAATTAAACCAAACAAGCTGATTATCTTTCATTAATGGCCCCTTTCCTCAAAACCTTTGTTTTTTTATTTTTAATTTCACTTTGGCCTCTCTTATTTTAGTATTCTAACCCCGCCGGGGCTATCTCATAGCCGACCAAGGTGGTTAGGTCTGAGTCACGCATACTATGAGTGATGCTTTGATTGGTGTTTGGGAAGCAAGTTCCCAAATTTTTTTCTCATTTTTTTCACTAAAAGACAAAAGTTTTGCAAAACAAAAAAAAACACATTCAAACAAAATATCACATCCAACCCTATAATCATTTCACTTTTTCTCTCACAAACATCACATCCAACCACATAAAAACCCAACTATCTTCCCAAACACTAAAATTTTTTTATCTCATAAAAACCTACATCTAATAAAATCTACATAAAAACTCACTTCCCAAACACCATCTATGTGTGTGAGTTGATGCTCCAACTCTTATGACCTTGCTCTAAGTCCTGTTTGTTTTAGGGTATAGTGGGTGAGATGGGATTAGGATGGAGGTGGGATCCATTTAGTGTTATATTTGTTTGTAGAGTTGGGAAATGAATTGAGATGGAGTAGGGGATTAGGATGGAGGTTAGAAAGGGGATTAAGATGGAAGAGGTGGATATAGTATTAGAAAAATAGTGAGGGGATTAGAAATTTTTTTATTTTTTACATGTTGGGCATTTTTTTTTTTTAACATTAATGTTTAAGTTTTTGTATTTTTTATTTGTTTTATTATTTTATATAAAAATAATTTAACGATTCCTACATTAACAACTATCATCAAAACAAATACAATTTTACTTAATTCTCTCATTATGAATCCCTCCATTTTACCTCTAAAAACAAACGAGGCCCAATAATTTCGATTTTTTGAAAGTTGGTTCTCCTATGATGCGGCTTATTGATATCTTATTTTTCAGATATATTAAAGGGATAGAGAGAGTTAAACTCATCACCTTGTAATGAGGTCGACAAGTTTTGGCCATATAAATAATTCCAGTTATTATTTAATGGTGTTTGGAGTTGCTTTTTTTAGTATCTTTTTTATTGATTTTTTTTTTTTTCTCTTTAGTGAATTTTTTAAAAAAAAATTCAAAAACCTGTATGGATTTTACTGGATTAGATAGACCCGAGTAGTAAAAGGTTTTTTAAAAAATTGAATACAAGTCTTGAAAGGACCAAAAAAGAAAAATAGCAAAAAATAATTAGGTGCCTTTTGGTAACACTTACGTTTTCAGTTTTCTGTTTATATTTACAAAAATTTAAAAAACTCAAATAAAAACTTGTTTGGTAAAATTTTTAATTTATAAATCAGTGGCCTCAGTTTATAAATTTGGCCCAAAAATGAAAACACAAAAAATGTGTTTCCATTTTGAGTTTTCAGTTTTTTTTTTTTTTACCACCCAACACAAGCCAACACCCGCTATCATTTTTCACCACCGTCTTCCGCCACCACCACCCACCACCCACTCCCACCACCACCATTACCACCACCAGCACTGGAGCAAAAGAGGCTCAGTGTTGTTTGCCAAGTTAACAAGACTCACAAGATCGGACGACTTTATTTTGGACAAAAACAGAAGGAAATAAATATCTAAGTAATAAAAAAAATAGATGTCTTAGACAGTGATGCCACAACCATAAATCTTCCGTGGTAGATGGAGACTAGATGGAATGATGAGCCAGCTGGTCAGTCTGATCTAGGATATAGAAAGCATTTTTTGTTCTACCACTGCCAATCATCTTCTTCGTGATAAGGTCCTGGAAAAGACAAGAGTAAAGGAAAAAAGTTACGCTACAATTCAAATCCCGAGTAAGACGATTCAAGGACAATAGATTAACTGAAAAATTAGGAACATGTAAAACAGAAGATAATGGTAAGGAAGGGGTGGTACGAATTAAACCTTTCCCAAAGATAGAGGAAATAGTACCATCAGCAATCTTAATTTTATCCTGATTAGAGGCAGGTGTATAGTCTGAGAAAAGATTAGAAGATTCAGACATATGATCGGAGGCACCGGAATCAATAATCCGTGGCGAGGCCTTATGGAATAAGAAAATACTAGAGAAAGAGGCTAAGTTACTTGAACGGGCAAACGAAGAAGAAGATGCACCTAGAGGAACCGGAGATTCGCGATCAAGTAGATGGCGCAAAGCATCCTCAAACTCAAAAGATGACATACTAGAGACCAGATTAGAAGTCTGCATAACTAGAGCTGAATCATGTGTCTTTACATCATTGGACTGATGAGCATGAGAGTGAGATCCACGTCCTCTCGACTGACTAGAACGACCGCCTCTATGACTTGAGTGATCCCCTCGACCCCTTGATGGAGTACCATGAAGCGTCCAACAAGTCTCCCGAGTATGCCTCGATCGGTGACAGTAATCACAAAACAAAGTATCCTTCCCTGAAGGATGAGGAGAAGGAAGTGATAAACCAGCCCCATTCGGAGAAGGTGCAGAAAGTAATGCTGAATGGTTTGTAGAAGTTGGTCGTAGCATAGCAGAACAACGACTCTCTTCATTCTGGACATAAGCAAAGGCCTCTTGAAGAGATGGAAGTACATCCATGCCAAGGACACAACTCCGGATCCGGGTTATACTCCACATTGAGGCCGTCTAGGAACTCGAAGACCCTCTCCGATGCAAGAAACTTTCGGTAACCAGCGGAGTCAACGGTTTAGACAGGCTTGTAATTCAGGAGATGATCTAGGTGTTTCTAACCATTAGTCAGAAAGGTGTAATACAAAAAAACTGTTTGCTTCCCTTGTACCGAGTGCTCAATAGATCGACACAACTCAAATGACTAATATGTAGCAGCTGTTGCCTCCTAAACATCCTGGGCAGTCTCCATGGACAAATAACCTTCACCAATCTTAGGGACCATGGAATAAATGAGCCACCCCATGATCAAAGAGTTGGTAATCTCTTATTGATCATAGTCAGGATCAGTAATATTTGGTGCTTGAACTCTTCCATCAACATATTTCATCTTCCCCCTACTTTTTAGAAAAAGTGTCAGACACTAAGACCATGCAAGGTAATTCTGACCATTAAACAGAGAGGTGATGATTTTGAGGCTAGGATTCAGGTTCTTAGAAGTAGTAGTCATAACTGGATTGGGACTCTCCCCTTTGGATGGATGAGAAGTAGTAGATTCACTAGATGGGTCACCCATGTTTATGCTACTATCTTAACCAAAAAACACAACACTAATCATAATAATGGAAAGAGGGAATGGAATGGGCAAACAATCTCAAACACAAACCACTATGGGAGCATAACACTTAGATTAATGGGGCCACTTATCACCCCAAAGAATAAAAAAAATTAATAATAAAAAAAAAGAAGTGATACTTCAATCAAAATGTGATTATTGGAATTCACCTAAGGATAGTTTTTGTGTGATTATTGGAATTCACCTAAGGA